CCCGTGCCGCCCCCCCCGAAACCCCCGGGAGGCTGCCGGCCTCGTGGGCCAGACCAGCGGGGAGCTGCTGCAGCAGATCGGGGAGAGCGACACCGACCCTCGTTTCCAGGTGAGTGCATCCAGGGAGACCCGCTCCCTAAAACCGTCAGCCGTTGCACAGGACCTGGCAGAAGGGCTCCGGGCCGAAGCTTGGCTGGTGCCTGGTGGTGACTTTGCTGAGGGAGGGAACAGGCCATTGCCCATCTCTGTCCCTAAAGCCGCTGTGATATAACGCCTCTTATCTTGTGGATTCCCATGTAGATCCCAGAAAGCCGGCGTGCTTGGATCCTGCCTGCCTCTGACCCAAAGACGGTAAAAGGGGGCTGTAGGCATGGCTTGGTGGTCCCTGCCCTCTCCAATGTGAGGGGTGCTCCTCTAGGGACTATCAGCTGAACTCTTTGGAGAAGGGCTCTTGTCAAAAATCTGCTTTTCTGGTGGTTGGCTCTTAGAAGTCCATGCACTCGGGTCGCCGCTTGGGCAAGCGCTGCCCTGGGAGTCTTCCCTTGCAGCCGCCTCAGCTCCTGCCTGCTGCTCCCTGCCTGTGGGAGCTGCCTGCCTGCCCCCATCAGAGACCCAGGGTGCCTGGAGCCTCATGGAGCCGTTTGTTTTGGCTGAGCTGACTTCCAGCCAGCTTGCTTTCCCACGACTGCTCCTTCCAGCATAAGGGAGATAGCACACCGTGCTGGGGAGGAGGATCCAGCCGTAGGATGGACCAAAACAGATTCCAGAAAGAAGGGGTTTCTGTTCATGGCGGCCACACAGCCTGAACATGAGCAGAAGAGCCTGGACATGTAGCCAAGGGGAGCAGAAAAGCTAGCGTCAGGGCAGGAAGCCATGCTCCGCCAGACATCAGTGCCAGGACAGGGCAGCCCCAAGGGGTGAATTTAGGACCTGGAAGGCAATTTGCACACATGCAGCAGGATGCTCTGCCCTGCAGCTGCCAGACCCGAGTGTATCTACTTCCCCCCTTGGGCTCAGATGCAGCAGTCTGGGGACTCTGGAGCTGGGTGCATGCGCTCTCCGATCTCTCCTCCTGTCTGGAAAGGTGGTGGATTGTAGCAGGAGTAGTCTTGGCTTGCAGGAGGTGAGGGGAAGCTGTGACACTTCTGGCTTGGTGGCCGGAGGCTTAGCTGTTACAGGCTGCGGGGCCGCTCGCTGTGAGCACGCACACGGCAGGAGGATTGCAAGGTGCAGCAGGCAGAGAGCACTGCCCTGCGTACCAAGGTCTTTGCCCCAAGCATTTGCTGTCTAGCGCTGGTGCTGCCAGTTTTCACTCAGCTAATGGGAGCTAATCCTGATGTCTGCAGCGTGCTGTCATGTCTGATGCCCTGCAGGAAAGCAGTTTGCTGTGTGCTGGTTGCTGCCTGTTGCGTGCTGGCAGGGCGGCCCCGTGCCTTCCCTTCCCCCCCTGGGGGAGAGGAGGCTGGTTGCTTCGTCATACCTCTCCTTTAGCCCCCGGAATGCCAGCGGAGCTGGAGCCC